AAACTAATCAGTAAAATGGCTGAACTTACTTTTAGTAAACTGTTCAGGGCAGATACCTCAGCAATCTGATTTCTGTTACAGACCCACAGTAATTTCCATTGCTTAAGGAGAATGACTGATGTTAGGCAAGTAGGGTTTGTTGTTTGGTTTTTTTAGCTAGAAAAAACCCCAGATGTTTTGGGTAGATATGTGTCTCATTGCTGAAGCAGTTTGCCACTGAAAGACAATCTCTAATGACAGTTTTGCCATCAGCTTCTAAGGTTTCTCACGTGGTCCTTATTAAATTGTCATTATTCCATGGATACACAGAGCAAGGATACAGACAGTTCTTAATCGGGTCCTGAGTTTCAAAGGTCAGTGGGTATGAAATCAAGGCCTAAGGCTATACGACTTAACTAAAGCTGACTGCAGGCTGCACCACGGAACATCTGGGCATGATTTGCATCAGGAGTGTATATACACCCCGCCTCCTCCTCCTAAACCAGAAGGGGCCTAGTCCACATCCAAACAGCCAAGGAAGGGACCCCAACGCCTGCACCCTCGTCTCAGCCTCAGCCACAGCTGGCGGTGCAAACAGCTGAACGGCACGGAGGGCTGCGGGCGCACGCTCGGTCCTGCGCTCTGCCCCGCTCGCTGGCACAAACAAAAGCGAGGGGACTGCTCCACGAGCTTCTTGGCAAGGGCTTTGCCAGCTCTTCACGTTCAGTCTAAGAGGTCCTCAGAATTACCTAGATTCCTCCTTGTCGCTGCTCTGGTTGTTCCTACAGCTTCCAGTATTTTTACTGTTATATATAACCTGAATTTTTTTGTGTATTTCCTTTTTAGTGGCCGGTTTGGCTTATGGTTAGATGCAGATTTGTATCATGGGCGAAGCAACTCCTGCAGCACCTTCAATAATGACATCTTATCTAAGAAAGAAGATTTCATAATACAAGATGTAGAAGTATGGACATTTGAGTGAAATACTGACTGCCTTAAGGACTGGATCCATTAGGCACTTAAAAGCTAACTAGAAGGTGCAGGCTGCCTCACAATGTTACACGCTTTTTCCTCAAGTTTGTACCAGAGCATGACTACGCAAAAAAACCCCAGCCAACCAACCCAAGAAAAAACAGAGCTGGTTTTGAGAGGCAGTAAAGACAGAACAGTAAGAGATCAGTCTGAAGTCTTTTTTACTTCCAACGCTCCTCCATCGAAGATACAATGCTTATGAAAACATTCATGGTGTATAGGTTGAAAACGTTTTCTGTAACTGTGAAAAAGATCCTGTGGGAAAACTATAACTATCTAGTACATTCCATGTGTATTTATGTTCAACGTACAAATGCTAACCAAAAATAAAAGGTTACTTTACCAAAATCTACAGCATACTGTTTGCCATGGAAAAGAATCACAAATAGGTGTATACAGCACTTAAGGGAACATGTTTTTAAAATCTTTTTATTTATTGTTATTGTATAGCAGATTTTTTTTTTTGTAAATGCATTAGCTATGAGTTTTTCCTTTTAATATTTCAAATCTCAATTTGATAAATAGTTACTCTTCAGGTAGGTTTCTTATGCCTTGATGTTTATTCTGAGTCAATTTATTTGATTTCTGACGTTAATTTTTGTATTTTTATTTTGTAAATGAGATTTGGGTTTTGTTTTACCCTAATTAGAGGGTTTGTTTTCTGGCAGAAACACTTGAGTGCATAATTCTGTTTTGGTTTTTTCTGAGGGAGAAGGTGGATAGTGCTTCTTATTAACTCTGCTGCCGCATTCCTGTTAATAGGAATAATAATATTATTTTGGCAGTGTATGGAGACATTGGGCAAACTGCCACCTACTATAGACTGTATCAGCTCTGTTGCAGTCAACAGAATTGGGACAGCACGCTCTGAGCATCTGCCCTTGTATTATTTGACTGTTTATGAAGGACAGTTCTAAGAGAGGATTGTTTTTCTGTATCACCACCAAATGATTCAAAATAAGCCACCCACTGTGCTTTTATGAGCATTTCTCTACAAATTGAAGAATTTGTTAAGGAGAAAATACAATTGAGATTTAGAGAAGAATGCTATTTCCCTAACAGGCCAGATCATGTTAGTGTAATACTTGTTTTCTTAGTAATTATTTATATGATTTCCTTCCCAAAAAAGACTTGAAGCAACAGGCTGGTTTAGGATTTGACGGGCAACTAAATATTCTTCTTTGTTTTTCATGAAATAATCGGATACTTCCCTCCCCTCCCCCGCAACGCTAAAGAGAAAAAGACTCCATGTTACAAAACGAAAATTTCAGTAAATAGGGAGAGTGTGACAGAGGACTGGCAATCTTTACTGTTTGCTAAGGAATTCTCTTTTCCCATTAAGCTCTGGTTTTGTTTACACAAACCAGGCCTGACCAACATTAGGACGCTGTCCTGCCCTTAGACTCAAATATGCCATTGTCCTGAGAAAGGCAGGGTTTAGAAACGGTAGTGTGTTTTCATGCGTTAAAACAGTACAGTCTAATTTTGGAATATTATTAACTGAGTAATACAACTCAATGTAGTTACTGCTCTTCCCTTTTTGATTTAAAAAAAAAAAAGGCCAAGTAGTTTTCTTTCAAGAGCATTACTAAATCTTAATTCTGCACATAAATTTCACAGTCTAAAAACCAATGCTATATACAGTAAGGCTATAACACGCTGCACGTGAGCTTTTCACACTTCCCTTCTATGTGGTCTACTGCATCCATAAATAAAGTTCTTACTGGTAGTGCTGTAAAATATTTTTGGAAGTCGCTAACAGCATAACGCTTTCAAGATACCAGGAATATCTAATACTGTTTGCTCTTTTAAATGGTGGCAGACCACTTAATAGTTTAAAAAAAAAAAACAAACCAACCAAGTTCAACATTTTACATACATTTCACTATTGCTACCTACAACTTACTCCATTATATTATCCTTGTCAGAGCATATCTAAACGCTGTGGTCTTATATTCAAAACAGTGTTGTTCAATCAAAATTCTGTGACCCTTGAAACTATGAATATTGAATATATGTAATGCAGTGCTATCACAATATTTTCAATAAAGGAATTTATGCATTCAGAAACTTCTTACAGATGTTTTCTCTTTTATTCATGAACTTTAGTACATTTTAAAGGTGAAAGGGTGCAGCTTAAGTTACAGGTTATGCTGACAAATACCTACGTCTCCCCTCAAAAAGAGAATTCCAGTGATATCATATCTTAGAAACATGGCTAAGGATATGGGAGCTTTTGGGTTGGGTTTTTTTTGTGTGTGTGGTGTGGCATCTCCTGAAATAGAGCTGTTTCGTGTTCACTCAAAGATAGACTGTGACAAAAGGCTAAGAAATACCAGTAAAGAGTTAAACAGTCGACCTAGTAGTTCTCCTTGCTTCTCTCAGCTGTAGTGAATGACATGTATTCCCTCATCTTTTTTGACTAACCTGTTCCCAGGAGTCAAAAGTCCATGTACCTTATTTTTGTATGCACCTTTTTCATATTGCTAAAGTGTTGATGTATTTTTCTTTCTGTCCAAGCAAGACAAAGGCGTACAATGCCTTAAAGTTACTTGGTTCTTGGCTTGTATTGGCTTTATGGTATACAGAGGTGGCATTAAGAAAAACAAACTACGATTACACATGAAACAGAACACATATGCTATCGGCGAACCTTCCTTTGAGTGAAATGGCTGTAAGATTTTTCTTACTGTAAAGTAAGAGGAAAATTCCAGTCACTAGTAATTTTTCTCTCAGAGGGAGAACAAAAGGTTGTTCTTGCAACATGAAGCATGTGTCTTTTTGTGGTGCTCGGGTAAAGAGTTTTGATTCAGGACAGTGGTGAAATGCTCATTCACAATAAGGCTTGTAAGTACACAGGTAAGTGCGGATGTTTGATTTGGTGCTGGTTTCAGTGCAGTTTTTTCACCAGATGTTTTGTACAAAGCTGGCTTTTGAGCAAAGTTACTTTCAGAACAATCCTTGAGTGTAAACTGTCAAGATTTCACTTGCCTGTTTACAGCAGAGAAAAGGAGCAGGTTGGCTCATTGCAAAGGGATCGCCTTGTGCTCTGCAGGTCGGCAAATGCTGGCAAATGAGCTTCTTCAGGTAGAATAGCTAACAGTGTCCTATTTGTACAAGCACAGCTTGCATGCTCTGAAAGAAATGCATTTTTGAAAAATCTCACTCTAAATTTTGTGACTCGTTACCTCTGTAAACAGTACGTCCTATCATCTGTGGGGCAAGTCCTTTGTGCCATTTGGGCTGCGTGAAGAACATAAACACTGCAGTTCCACGGTGGGGGATTCTGCAGCTCTGCAACTCTAGTCTAATGAACAGCGCAGGCGATTTGAAATACAAATTGTTAAGAAAACATTTTTAGAAATTGAAGGTTAGCCACCTCTTAGACATACCCTTGGTTAGCTTTGGGGGCAGCTGATACGCTGAGGGTGGTGAAGCCCTGGCCCAGGTTGCCCAGAGAGGTGGTCGATGCCCCAGCTGTGGAAGCGTTCGAGGCCAGGCTGGACGGGGCTCTGAGCAACCTGGTCTGGTTGAAGATGTCCCTGCCCTTGGCGGGGGGTTGGACGAGATGACCTCCGAAGGCCCCTTCCAACCCAAACTACTGTACCATTACATGAATTGAAGGAGCTCAGGGTGCGTTCCGTTCATTTTATTCCCGGTTTGTACCTGTTTCTTCTTAGTGAAAGCTCGCGGTCAGCAGGCTCCGTGTGTTTGTACTGATGCCGCAGGCGTGCGGCGGGAGGTTTGCTTGGGCACACCGAGGGAATTCACACCCGCTGTTTCCCCCTGCCCGCCTCAGATCCATTCACCCCAAACCCTGCAGACGTTCCGGCTTCAGGAAAAAAAAACAAACGCCGGGGGTTATGTCGGAGGCCGGCGGGAGCGCACCCCCCCGCCTTTCCCCTCACAGCTCCGCGGGCGCGTTGGTTTCCGCGCCCG